AGCCCAAATGTCAGTTTGTCCACCAGAATGTGTCGGATGTTTCAGCTCATGAGAAGAACTTACGAGACAGGAAACTGCTCTTGCAGCAGTTAAATGAGATGACCCAGGCAGCAGCCAAAATGGAAAAGAAAGAGGAGAACATGAGCTTCACTGATGTGATGGAGTACAGTCCAGACACTGGGAACTGGTACATTCCTGGACTCTGGAATGGAAACCCACCAATGGCACCAGTCAATGCAGGGTACAGCGAAGCTGTATATGAGCTCAAGAAAAATGTAATCCAAATTTTGGGACGTTGTGAGTCATCTGCTAATAATATCTTGGAGTTTACAGAGTGGATGAAAAACCTGTGGAATGCAGTAAAGCATGAAAACTTCATCTTCAGCTTCAGAAACAGTCTGGTGGCTGATGCATACGTGAGGCTGTGCACAGAATTCAACAAATGGGAATGGGAATTCAAAAAAGAAATGTACACATGGGTTACAAATGCTGAGACAAGAATTTCCAATTTTGGCAAATTTGCTGTGGAATCTGAGATACCTGACATGAGAGAATTTCTTGACCATTTGAAAAGTGAAGCGTGCACAGTGCTGACGGAATGGGAGACAAAGCTTCTTGACAATTTGACACAGTACTTCAAGCAAACAGAGGGTCACGTCTATCTAGTTGAAGGATACAGAGAAGACTTTGCAAACAGTGCAAAGAGCCTTCGACAAGAAATGGAGAGGTCTGTGTTTAATCAACTCACAGCAACAGCTGACATCAGACAGGGAATGACAGAACTTGATAAAATCAAAGAGAACCACGCAAAAGAATTAGAGGGCAGAGTGTGTGCATTGATTGAACAATGTCGGGGAAAAAATGTTGAGATGACAGTCTAAGAGTTTGACAAAGAATTTGATAAGATGTGGAACAGAATGGTGAAGGAACTCTCCTTCTCTAAGCAAAAGCCTGCAGATGTCTTTGCAAGTGTGTACCACTACCTGAGAGAAAATCTAAGACGTAAGGGAAGTCATGTCTGTCAATTGCTCAGTAAAAAAACCCTGTCAGAATGTGGACTTGTTCCTTTCAGATATACTGCAGAAGGATTCTTCAATCAGTTGAAACACATAATCACCAAGTTTTTCAACACTGAAGATCACATAAAGTCTGTACAGCAAATGGCTGACAGTATCATAGCAGATTGCAAACAGTATGTTACTGGAAAAGTGGTAAGTAAAAGCAATTACCATGACACTTACATTCAGGAGATCCTCCACATGATTGACGAGAAGCTGCAAAACAATAAGGAAGTGAAGACAGATGTTGAGTTTGAAGTTTCTCTGAAACAGCACATCTGTGGAGATGCAGCCAGACAGTTTCAGAAAATGCATGAAGATTTCATATATGAGAATGATCCCTACAGATGTCTGAATGAAAACAAAGCCAAGTTTCGCGCTGATTTTAAAGATGTGTTCCATAATCAAGACCAGTGCCAGAAGAAGGCAGAAGAATTCACAAACCGCTGCCTGAAGCCTGCAGTCGAAGACTTTGTCAAGCGTTCCTTGGGTCCTGATATCTTTGGTGAAATGATGACAAGCCAGCAGTTCAGAACACGAATATACCTCCAGTATACAATTTTACTGGATCTGCTCACAACGAATGACTTTAAAAGTTATCTGAGCTACACTGGCTCATATGAGTATTATGTAAAGAAATGGATCCTTGACCAAATAGTTGAACGCTTCTCAAAAGGGTCTATCATGTTTGAGCTTGAGGATAAACATGTTCAGTCAAGCATCAGGAACATAACTAATGCTATCATCAAAGCTAAAACCAAAAAGAGTTGCAACTTAAGAACATTTGTTGAGGATGTCTGTCAGGAACTTGGTGTTAAACTGGTCATTTCCCAGGATGCTCTTGGTGCTTTCATGATCCTGAACAATACCAACCCGGAACAGTTTGCTCACTGGCTCACCGACTGTCTGAAGGACATGGCAGAAGCTCTTACAGAGAAGTTTAAAGAAACAAACGTCCAAACAAAACTAAAACAACTTCATGTGAATCCTCAGAACGAGCTTTTCACCAAACTGATTGGATGTGGTAAACAGTGTCCATTCTGCAAAGCACCTTGTGAGGCAGGAGGAAAAGACCACACTGAGCACTGGACGTCACTACATCGGCCAGAGGGTCTGGGCAGATACAGGTGGGACAGGACAAAAGAACTTGTTACTGACGTATGCACTTCCTTGGTGATCAGTGACAACCGTTTTCGCTGCAGTGCTACAAATGGTGAATGGCATTCTTACAAGCTTTACAAAGAAATTTTCCCTGACTGGAAAATTGTTCCAGACGTAAGCCTTCAGGCATCAGACTACTGGAAATATGTGATGACAAAGTTCAACAAAGAGTTTGCTGAAAGATATGAAGCAAAGCCTGCTGATATTCCAGACACTTGGAGAGATATCAAATATGAGCAGGCAGAGAAGAGTCTCAAAGAGTCATTTAACATCAAGTGAGAGAGAGAGAGAGAGATAGAGAGAGAGAGAGGGAGAGAGAGAGAGAGACAACATGCTTTGTGATTATAGAGGTGCACATTTTCCTACATAAATTAATTCCGTATCTGCTCAAGGATATCTTGATCCCACTTGTTTTATATGATATAGAGAAGAGTCACAAATAGTAACATGCTGTATGTAAGAGGACAAGGTTTAAGATGTTGTAAGTTGACTCAAACACTTTACCACAAAGGCTTACAATAAGGAAATTACTGCAATTGAAACTGCATTTAACATGTTAAATATAAATAATCAGCTCTAGCTCTGTTCCTGCTGATGATGACATTTTAAATACTTTGCATACTTTGAGTCAATGTACCTTTAGGAGCACATATTGGAAACATACTTATAAACATACTTAATGTTGGCAGTTTGATTAAATCAGACTTTGAATGCATGATTTTGAGTGACAGAAAGTTTTCTGTGTACTGCAACTATAAAGATGTAATCACAGATAATCAAATGTGATATGATTTTTTTTTAATGTTTTTGTTTCTATGAAGTATCTGAGGCAGGATATTTAAATGTCTTTCTTTTTTTTTAACACCACTCAGTCTTTATGTGGTATTGTCATAACAAGACAGAATGTTTTGCTTTTAATCTTAAGTATATGTGATTGTTTGACCGAAAGTTAGGATCTAATTGTCTTTGTTTCTGAGCAGTGTTTGATGCAAAATATTTAGATTTTCAGTGTATTAAAGGACCATTCATTCTATTGTATATGTGATATCATCAGTGTCAATACATTATTAACATTTGTTAACTGCTTTAATAAAGACTCAGAATGAGTTATTATTGTCTTTATTGAATTCAAAAACCCAGGAAGTGAGTGCTGCTACTAAAATTCAGCTTGTGTTCTGTCTGAACACACAGTAAGGGCTCATTTATACTCCCTTTACCAAACTGAGAATAGATGCGTCCGTTTCAAACCTTGTAAATGTCCCTGCCCTCACACTCATACCATACGTCCTTTATGATGGCACAAATACAGCCAATAGATGGCGCTAGAGGGCAGAGTCAAAAGTCTCACACAGCAACAAGTGAGTGGAATCTGGAGGAGGTCCTAATATTTTACCTTTTAACAGAGGCAACATTGTCAGCAGTGATGGTCTGTGAAGCCATTAAATACATTGCAATAGGTAGACTGAGAATTAATTTTTGACTATATAACTGATTTGTCTTTGTCTTCTGCTATGGTTGCACCTTGCTTGAATTACGCTTCCCTGCCCCTATGATCTCCCGTGGTACTGCTCCGTTTTGTCTGTATCTGTAAGCCTTCAGACAACATGTGGAATTATGGAAGAAATGAACGCAGACTATGGACAGAGGGCTCCGTCTGTGTCCTTATACGTTTCTAATATTGAGCATAAATGAGCCCTAAGAGTCTACAGCCATGCTAACAGCTCTGTGAGCCTACTCAGGTGCAGCTGTACTTTGAGCTCAATGCTAATGCCAACATGCTAACCTGCTAACAATAACAATGCTAAACATGCTGATGTATATAAATAATAATGTATAATGGCTAACATTTCCTACTTAGCACAAAACACTTCTGTATCAAATCTCATGGCCATCCATCCAATAATTGAGATGGTAGTTGAGACCTTGCACTCACAACCATACATGCCTACTCATGGTGCCGTTACAGGAAAAGTCAGGGATCATCAAAGTCATTCAAATTCTTTGCATGTAAACCAGGACTGTCTGTAGAAAAACATGCTAATCTGTCACATAGAGGCTGCAGTAGTTCATATTAAAGAAAACTTTAATATGAAATCACTAATGTCAGTGAAATTCATCCAAGGAAGAAGTTGGACCACCTGTGTGATCCTGCTATATGTGGGACTGTATGTGAGGCACCTCATGGTAGGCTATCAAATCCCTATTGTCGCTCCCACATTACTTGGTCACATGCAAACCTGTTTACAACAATCCACAACAAGGAGAAATGTAACCTTCAACTCTGAATTACAGATCTGTTAATCATGTTTCAATTAGTGTGCAAGCACCTGAAACTAAGAGTCATTGGGCCTCATTCACAAACAGTGCGTACGCACAAATCTGTGCTTAAACTGTGCGTGCGATCGTTTGACGCACAAATCCGGGATTCATCAAATTTTTCTTACCCGAATTTGTTCTTACTCTGCGAACAAATTTAGAACTGCCTCAGACCATGCATACGCACAAATGAGGAAGGCCGAACTGACTTAGAAAATGCAAACATACCTTTTAAGTACATGCAGAGTCTATAAAACCACATTCATGAAAAAGAGATTTAATTAACATTTTTTAAGATAATTAATATATTGGCCAAATGGATTAAATTACCATGAAATTGACACACGTTCACCCTCATCATTGTGACAATTAAAATATTAACAATAACATGAACAGAAAAACTATCACTCCATCATCGTGCAGATGATCTGTAATGCCGACTGCCATATCCTTAAGGCTGTGGCCCGCTGGCCAGGAGGCACCCACGACTCATTTATTTTGCAAAACAGTACAGTGGGAATGCGTTTGGAGGCAGGGGCTGTGAGAAGTGGATGGCTTGTTGGTGAGCATCTTTTGTTCTAGTCTTTTATTTCATTTGTTTTAAGTTAGTATTTTCAGTAAGTCTCTTATTCCGTTAATGTTAAAATGTTATATTGTTTGGGTGACCGGGCATATGGCCTTAAAACATGGCTGATGACACCATACGCAAACCCTGAAACCCCTCAAGAGGTGCGCTATAATAACATATGTGATATCGTCGGATATCCACTAAAGGAAGGAGACATCTCTTCAGTTGAGCTGACTTTATTTGCAGGACTTCTCAGGTAACATCATAACACGGCACAACCTGTCGGTACCATCTTGTGTCACTGCTATAGACACACTGCATAATCATCAGATGCAAAATACAAGTGCTCCCTCTACAGGCCTTGAACTGTAATAACATGCAATAGCCACTTTACAACAACATACATGCCCACCCACGCGCCGTAGAGCGCACTTTTGGCGTGCTTAAGGGCCGTTGGATGTGTTTGGATCAGATACGGCCGGTGGCAAACTACTTCATACCCCTGAGAAGGTGTGCAAGATCATCCTGGCATGCTGTGTCCTCCACAATCTTGTAATGACCCATGGCATTCCTGTAAGACCCGGCGCCATCGCTTCCAACAAACTGTGAAATTTACTACTTCTCTCCTCGTGTAACCGCTTCCTTCATTCATGAATCAACTCTAGGCAAGCGGTTTCCTTATATGGAGAAATGGGGGCGTGGTAGTATGCTGATTCCAGATCGCGGACACGCGCCTTTCAATTTAGAATGGTTCTGATTTACTAACATACGCACGGTGGTGAGAACAAAATTGGCCGGTACGCACGTGTCATGAATCCGACGGTGATTTTGCGCAAGTACTTATTTTTTGCGGAGAGTAAGAACATTTCTGCGCAGATATTAGTGAATGAGGCCCATGGTGCTTTGTTAGCTCAGAATGAGGGAGTAGGTCCATTTCCATTTCGACTGAGGCTGCGGTCGGAAAGTCCCTCCTGTCGTCTATTCCTAATCACTATTCCTTGACCTCAGTGGGAAACGTCATGAGGTCAAGGAAAGATGAGTAGGAGAATTCATAAGGACTTAGGAAAAGAGAACCGCGGAGCTGAGAAAATCCAACCGCACTTACGCTGGGCTACGTCATCATGCGACGGCGGATGTCAGTGACGTAGGTCGACAGTGGTGAAACTACAGTTTAATTTAGATGGACTACAAAAAGCGCATCTCAGATACTCCGCCCCGTGCCTACTTACCATGTTGCTTCATGCAGGCTATATAAACGTAGACAGCACAGTGAAAAATATGACTTAATTACCAACGTCTGAATTGGAGTAAAAAAGGCAGATAGGCAGTCACAAAACTGAAACACTGAAAATGGTTGCTCACACTCACTCTCCTGAATCATTGTGATTATTTATGACAAATGTTCAAGTGTATGCAAGAGAGGCAAATATGTTAGGCTTACAAATTACAAATCTACTACTGTACATTCTTAAATTGCAAACATGTTGAATTAAAAACATCATCTAAATTAAAACGTTTCATATCCCTTTTTCTTGAAACACAAACTTCTGTGTTAATATGCCAATGAATCATCATCTGTCATTTGCTTACAATAATTTAAAAACGACCACAAAACTCAGTAAACACCTTGAAATGTTGACATGATTGTGCCTTGAAGTTATTTTTTATTTTATTTTATTTTTTTAATCGTGTTTATTGGATTTTCCATTATATTAGTGACAATAACAACACAGAAAAAAAAGAAAAGAACAAATAACAAGAGCATACATAGGGATGAAGGTGCACCTGTGCAATAAACAGTATATCTTCTGCCTAAATGGACAGGTTTTCTGTGATGGGGGGGGGGATGTGGGAGGCTTTATTCTAAAGTGTTTGGGTGAAATTCATTTGCGTAATAGTCTAAAAAGAGCTGCCTCCCGCTGAAGAGGTGCTCCAGCTGCACACATGCCCGTATGAGTGCAGAGATGTCTGCATCTGTGACTGAAGAAAAATTAATTAATGATATTGCTAAAAGCTGGCGATTCAACAATGCTCAAATAGTGACATGATTAATCCACACTGAGCATATCTTACACCACAATATTAACTTGAATTGGGTAATGTTACAACAGTAGCGTGACGTTTATAGTTCGCATGGGTTTAACATATTGTTGAGAGTTTGGAACATATAACATTACGCATATTATCAAGTTATGGCATGAGATGGGCAAAGCTTCATGTAACGGTGACTTAAATGGTGATCTCCATGACTTTTCAGTCATGTTGAGAGCCAGTTGTTCTTTTTCTTTTCCTTTTGTTGCTTCTTTCGTTCTTCCTCTTCTCCTACTTCTTCGGGTTTATTCGTTTTTCTCCGTGAACGGTCGGTCGCTTTAAATATTGCTCCCGCAAAGCATTGTGGGATTAAATTATCTCCTTTCCTATCGCTTAGGAAGGTCTGATGTATCCTATGCTAAAGGAGATCTGAAAGGAAGCATTGAACCTCCTGTCCTTCGTGTTTAGAGAATTCGAACAGCACTTATCATGGCGGCCACTAAAAAATACTTCCGGGTCATTTCACTGCCATCTTTCTACAGTAGCCCAGAACAGACAAACCAAACACTGGATCTACTTGAAAGGGCCTGTTTTTTTTTTTTTTTTACATTACCTTAGGGCCACCATAGGCCCTTCTATGTGTTTGTCTCTGGTGTCTTGTATTTGAAACCACCTAATACCATTCTTAGCTGTAACACAATGTAATCTGTAACAGATGTGACTGGACCCAAATGCAGCACTCGGTGACCATTGGTAATGACCTTAATTTGAACACAGAATAAACAGAAACTTGAGCCGACGAAGATATTCAATTAAGGATACCATTTAGGATACCAATATCGAGCTTAAAATGAGCACACAACAGCCTCTGAAAGACTGTAATGTCAGTCTTCCCCCTTTTGGCCAGGGAGGACCAGCAACTGCATCAATGGGGCTGTGGCCCCTCCTGGCTTCCCCCTGGGGGGCGCCACTGAATGTTTGTATGTGACAGTACTTAATAACTTGTTAACAGTACTCAGACCCTGGATGAATCTGCAATACCAGAGCTGCAGCACCTTGCCTGAGGCACTGGTTGCTGGGCAGCAGGTAAAGACAGAGAGCTAGGTGTGCTGACCCCTGGCGCTGTGAACTGGCTCTGAGGATATGGAACATCACGTCTTTTGTGGTTGCGAAACCAGAGTAAGTGTGGAAAGTAGAATGGTACCAACTAGTTGTGCTCAACGCTGTTATATCTGCTGCTTGAGTGTGTGTGTGTGTGTGGGTGTGGTGAGCAGAGTGGTTACAGGTGTGCCGGAGACTGAGCAGAGCACCACCAGCCGCATCTCATTCTGCAATCAATTGCCTACTTGTACTCAGCCCTGCCACATCCACGCTGCTAGATCGTAGCCACTGTTAAGTCAGTATACAGCTTGACTCTAGCCTCTAGTTGAATCCTTGACTTAAAACTTTGTCTGTAATCCTGTTTTCCTGTGTTTCCAGTATCCAACCAGCCTGCTCTGCTCTCCGGTCCGCTCTGCTCCACCTGCCCTCACCTCGGACGTTCCAGCCTACTCCCCACTCAGCCTGCCCCCTCCTCAGACTCTCTGGACCCAAACCCCCTCACCCAGAGAGCTAAAATAAACCTTTTGGACTCAAACTGTTTCACTGTCTGTCCGCACTTGGGTCCTTGCTGCCGCCCTGTAACACAACGCTATGTGCAGCACTGGCTCTGGAACCAGTGGAGGGATGGACTCTCTCCAGGACTGGTCTGAACCAGGAAAACTCACCTTTATGACCCATGGTGCACATGACAGCAGCCTTTGTAATGTAACTAGCTGATCTATTTTTAAAATATTAAATCTTGCAAGGGAAAGGGGACTTAAACAGACTTATGGAGTAAGAACAAAAAAATAAAAGACCTTCCCTTAAGAACAAAAAAATCATATGGTCCCTTAGCAGAGACTTTCAACTGATCTACGATTTCAACCGTGCAAACTGTTTTAAATGTGTCCGGCTCCAACACACCTACTGACTCACAGCAGAAACTGGATACAATAATGAATAAAAAGGTGGTTATTTCGCCAGCTTTCTTTGCTTGCTTTTTTTTTTTTAATTTTTCTACTGCGGGTCAAAATGTGCTTCTTCTCTGTGTGTCTGCTGGAGACAGGTCCTCTGTAAGCTTCAGGTTGATATCTCTCAAGGAGATGTGTTCTTTGTGGAGCATTACACAACATTGTGCAAGAACTGGGCTGTAAACTAGATTGTGATACTCCTGAGTTTGTTTGACATCTAAGGGTCAAACCTGTGTGTTTTATTGTGGCTACTTACTAAATTAAAAAAAATATAGATACATCTCTCAGCCACACTGAGGCAGTGTACTTACACAGATTTAATTTGACTGCATAATGCTGATAGTTACCTCATGCATTGATGGCCCGCTTTAATTCAAAATCAGTACAATGGGGGTGTGGTGGGCAGCTTGCAAGAGTGGGGTAGAGATGCATGCTCAAAAGAAAAGCCCACATTTCTGGTCGGAAAAAGAAACACATTAACTATAAACATTCACACACTGAATATGCATAGAATATGCAATATGCAATTGAATATTGCAAAGATGACCTTTTCAAAGAGGCTGCTGAAGGAATGACAGAGGGCATGTTTGTTCACACGGCTGGTAGAAAAAATCCAACTTTGATGCAAACAAGCAAAAAATGGCAATACAAGGCCTGGGGAAAGGGGAATGTGGCTGGAGAGGAGGGACAGAAAGAGCAGCAATATACAACACTACTGCAGAGAGCCCAGGTTAAATTCCCAGTGTTGGTACATCTGGCTTGATACATCTAAAATCCATACACTCACCCCACTATATCTAAATAACCGCCACTGTGTGGCCAGACGAATGAGTTTTGTTTTACTGGAAACTATAATTATCTACTGTTTCTGGGAATCAAAGTGACTTCTCCTGGTTTAATAAAAGAAGAGTGGCAAAGTTCAAGTACTGTGTATGCAAACTCCTTCATTTCTCCCCTTTGTTTCTGTGTAGAGTGCTTTATATGTAACCTCACATTCGGCACAGGTGTGGCTACTCTGATGAGCCTATGTGACAGCAGTCAAAGGGAAAAGAGTTTCTCTGTCGCAAATTTTTTTTTTAGAAAAACTCAGTGGAAGCATGGGTGGCACATTTCTTACCCAACACCGCAGAGAGCCTGGTTAGATCCCCTGTATTCATACGTCTGTCTTTTTAAATCTAGCAGTGGCAATGTACCACTGTCTGTATTTTTTTTTTTTTTTTAATTCACTGCAATCTATCTTTGTATCACATTGAATGCACTGGGTGAATGTGCATCTAATTGCTTCATCTAATTGACTGTGGGTGCCAATTCACCTTGCATTCTTTTTGAAGACACAGTGAGTTACAGTGGGCAGCATTTTATTAAGCTCTGGTTTACACCTAGCAAACAAGACACTATACTGTACAAAATACAAATAAGAAATCCCAGCCCTCTAAATCATGGTTTATGTAAAGCCTATAAGTAAAACCTGATTTAGCGGTCCTTGGACAAAACTGGACGTCTCCATCTGCCCTCTCCATTGGCTCCTCCAGGAAGCCCAGCAGGAAGTCTCTGGTGGACGTGTTGTTGGTGAAGAAGCCAAAGATGGCTTTATGCAGCACGTTGGTGTTGAGACGCTGGCTGGTGGAGGGTAATGCTCTGAGAGCTCACAGCACGAGGCTCCTTCAATGACACCCCCTTCTTTATCTACTTCACGTGCTCCTTCATGTCATCCAGAGTCAGACTGTCCAGCTGTTTGGGCTGTATAGCCACGTTAGCCGCCCCCTCCTCCACTTAAGGTTTTAAGACTAGCAAAAAAGATGTATCTCAGTAACAGGCTAAAGCAGTGTTAATTACACATTAAAGCTACCTGGAATGTAATCATTTAGCAAAAATGAAAGACAAACTACAAGTACATTTATATTTATTTATTCATTTTTGTGTTATAGCAGTAAAAATCTTACTTATCCACCTAAAATAGGTTGGTTAGATAAGTTTTATCACTTTATAAATATTGGTACTAATGTAGCTTCAAATATTGCTCCCTCAAAGTGACATCCTTTTCAATTTATTTTGGGTAATTATTCCTCTATGTCTGTGTCGTTATTTGATTTTAACCTGTGCAGATAAACTCAGAAAAGCTCAAGCTCAAATATCTTTACTTTCTGAGCGCTGGTCAGTATGCTAAAATTTTCTAAGTGCAACATTTGCATTGCATTCTTTAGTTGCTGAGATGTGACTAAAAACCAAAAATGTTCACCTGCTTGTGGTGCAAAAAGTAATTTCTGGGAGATCACCAAAGTGATTAAGGATCCATGCTTTGTGGACCTTGAATATCTGTGCAAAAATGTTCCAATCTATCCAATAGTTATAGATATTTTAGTCTGGATCATAGTGGTGGGTGCACAGACAGGCAGTGCCATATCTATAGCCATGTTGCTAGCCCTTGCTAAAAGAAATTCCAAATATCCCACCCACAAATATGAAAACACAAGTCAGTCATTACTGGAAACCAGATAATCATTTACTATTCTGGGAATCAAAAGTGAAAGTAACTTCACTCGCAGAATAAAAGGAGACACCCACAGTAGGTTACTGCATTGCCAGGAAAGTGCAGAGCTCTGTCCTCAGGACAAAAGCTACTTAACCTATAACAGAATATTGCATATACAGTGAATAAAAAAACCTACTTGATGAAATAACAGCTATTTCTTTTTACCATGGATAATCTGCAAAGGTAGGTAATGACGTCTTTTCTTGTGACTTTTTGCCCTCTTTTAAATTCCTGAAATGATGTAGGCTTTCCATAGCCTGAGACAGTAGCACAACTCATTTTTGTTGTTTGTTTTTGTTTTATTCTATATTGTAGTCTGACAGTTTGCAGAGTACACTTAGCTGTGTGATTCATGTCTAATATGGATAACTGTTGGAGAAGATGTTGATAACAGGGTTCATTTCTATAACTTTCAGTAAGAAGCAGTTTGAATAATCTGGAGCAAGTGTGGGATGGCTGAGAGTGTACCTACAATGGATAACTCTGATGAAGAGGTAAACATCTTGTTTTGCAACTTTTAACTTAAGCCAAATATATGTTGTCCTTTCAGCTATTGAATGGAATGAATATGAGTTGATTCACTACACTTTGAATTTAAATATATTCTTCTCCATTACCAAGGAGTTCTATGATGTACCCGACTCCTTCCTTGACCCATACAGTCAGGACAGAGAGAACACTACACCAGCACCACAGTCTGACTGTATGTGTGACTGTTCATAATGGATCCAATTTATGTCTGAATACATAATGTGATGTACAGATACTGAGATGTACCTCTCTTCTCTTGTGACAGACGTTCCTCCACCAGGAGATGTAACAGTTCTCAGTGCTGACCAGGAGACTGTTTCTCTTGGCTTTTCACTCACTGAGACCTCTGTTAGGTATAAACTGCAAATAGATTACTCCTGTGACACACAGACAGGCAGTTTGATCAGAGAGGACTCCAGCACTGTGACGGTTGAGGGACTGAATCCTGGGACTGAGTATACTTTCAGCATCATAAGGATTGCTGATAATGGAAATCAAAGCAAAGCAACCTCTCTATCTGTCTTCACAGGTAAATCTGTCAAAAGGAAAAAAAAGAAAAAAAAAAGTTACAGCACATTTTACACTTCACAAATATGCTTCCTACAATAAGGTATGCTCTCATTGTATGTTATAAAGGTTAGTTCACATGATTAGGCTATATATCGTGTTGTCTTTTACCACACCTCTTTAACTCGGCAGTCAAACAGCATACATTAACAGAAGTTGAAGTTTCACCAATGAAACTATTACATTGTTCCCACAGAGCCCAGCCCTCCTGCAAAGATTACAGTTGACCAGATAAGCAGTGAGTCAGTGTCTCTGAGTTGGGACCCACCTGCTGGTGAAGTGGAGAGCTACACTGTGACCTGTTGCAGCGAGGGAGAAACTGAACAAGTGTTGACAACAGACGCAAACAACCAGACTTTCAGCAACCTGATGCCAGGGGTGTGTTACTCCCTGCAGGTTTCTGCACAACTTAGGAATGGAAGACGAAGCAAGCCAGCTGTAACAGCTGCCACCACAAGTAAGTCAAATAAAATCATAATGGCAACAAAAAGCTTCTTTCAGGATAAAGTGGGCTTGTAAAGACATAAAATTATTGTCATTTAATTCAGTAAGACTGCCAGACACAGTGTGTTCAAAACTTTTTTCCTGACAGTGTGTAATACCTTAATGGCATGTACCAACAATGTCACAAGCAGGGCTTTAGTGGGACTGTAAAATAAAGGGTGAGCAGGGCCGGCCCTAGACTTTTGGGGGCCATAAGTGGATATGCTTTGGGGGCCGTCCTCAAAGTAACATTTTTCCACTTTACATGGCATTAAACCAACTAATGTGTGTTGTAGTCTAGGCACTCATAATGTACAAATAAGCACGTAAAGACTAAACTGGGACCTGTTTGCAGCAACACTATAAATAGACTAGAGTAAATACAGTATTTGTCTATTATCCCCAGACCCCAGCAGACACAAAAGTAGAAGCAGATCAAGACACAGACCTGCCCCTTCCTCTCTCTCAAACTCGGACTGAAATCTGAGAGTAAGAATAGGCAGTGCCGAACGAATATATCTCAAGATTATGTTACTGCATTGCCTATTTCTCCCCTTCAATGTTTTTAGAAACATATTTTAGTTTTTAGCTGTTTTTAGCTGCAATAGTGAGAATTTGTGAACAGGAAGTGGGCATTTCCAGATATCTGTCTGGCCTTCCTACCTATTGCCCTGTTAAATACCTCACAGAGGTGTTGTTGGGGCTTACCAACCACTTTCCCTGCAACCTTGACAATAGTGGAGAGCTTGTTTTTGTGCTTCGCACTCAAATTGCCGTACCAGGCAGTTATGTTGAACTGCAGTACACTTTCAACCAGGCCTCTGTATGCCGTTTCAAGTATATGTTGACTTACACCAAAGCTCTTCAACTTCCTTATTAAAAACAGTCGCTGATTTGCTCTCTTAAAACCAATTTCTGAGTTTTCATTAAAACTTTTGGTCAATAATAGTGCCTAAGTATTTAAAATGGTCCACTACCTCCACAGTCTGGTTGTTAAGTACAGCAGGAGCGATGCTACTAGCTCCCTTTTTTGTTTGTACTATGAGTTCTTTAGTTTTGGCCACGTTAATTTCCAGATTACTGGCCTGACACCAGTCCTGCAGGAGGGAGACCTGTTTAAAATAGGCATCCTCATGTGTGATATTATTTTCTGTTACAAGTCCAACAAAGGCCATGTCATCAGCATATTTAAATAACTTAACATTGCTACAATTCACAGTCATGATATTTGTGTAAATTGAAAACAACAAAGGCGACAACACACAGCCTTGTGGTGCTCCAGTATTTAAAACAAGCTCATCCGAGTAGACCCCATTCATTAAAACTCTTTGAGGGCGGTCAGTTAAAAAACTTCTGATCCAGTGAATGAGCCCACCATTTACATTCATCATAAAAAGTCGTTGTAAAAGAATGTCAATTTGCATTGTGTTAAAAGCAGAGCTAAAATCAATAAAAAGAACACGGGCAAATGATTTTGGTTGTTGCAAATGTTTAGCTATATGATCCACAAGGGTGACAGTTGCATCTTCTGTGCCCCTGTGTGGTCTATAGGCAAACTGAAAGGGACCAATCGAGGCCAAAGAAACTGAGATCCAACGGTAAAATTAAGCAGTGTTGATCAAATATAAACCAAGATTCTGAGTTGCCTATTTCTTGCCTAAAATGTTTTCAGAAACAGGTTTTAGCTTACTGCTTAACTGTATGAGATCGAGATTGAATATTGCCAGCGAGCCGCTATTGTTTGAAACAGACGTGTCCGCATTATGTCAGCCACCAGCATGAGCGCTTATTACTATTACTACTATTCCTCCAGATTTCCTTTTTATTGACCCACATTTTCAAATATAAAACTAGTATTGCTATAGCTTGGCTGAATACTTGATGGTTATTAGGGAGATGCGCATCCTTATTGCCCAGTATGCCCAACTATTCAACAGTTTAAATTCAATATTTAATCAATAATCAATATTTATTCCATTGCTTTCCATCTTGCATTAATCCAGAGTTGTAACTAAACCTTGACTGAGACTAGATAATCATAGTCTTGTTTTAAAATTATGTGTGGCCGTGAGGAGTGCTATCACCTCATATTTGTCTGGACTAATCACAGAGGCTGCAACTGGGAAGTGAGTTTTATTTCAGGCATGCACAGATGAACGCAGATGAACGCAGATGAACACAGGTTCACATGCCACGCAGTTATCTTTTCCGAGTTGCAGTTCATAAACAGTTACCTGTTGGAGTTTATCAGATGTTTCACTCTCACTTTTGTCAGTCACAGAACACAGCCCTGGAGTTGACTCGTAAACAAGATACAGCCAGACCGAGAGATGCACTGCCCAGCTAGTTAGCAAGACAGATAGACGGGCTAGACACTTACACAGCAAGCTAACACATAAACTTATTGTTATTGTATTTTTCTGACATCAAACTTGGAGAAGAGAGAACACAGTTTAGCTGGTTGCTGTTCCCACAGTTCACTCCTGTGGCCTATGCAACTTGTGTCATTAACATATGGCCACCCAGTTCTGTTTGTGGGACATTTCAAGCGCTTCTGGGGCTCCTGTGCTCGCCACAGGGCCCTAAGCAGCTGCTTAGTTTGCTTTCATATCGGGCCAGCTCTGAGATTGAGGAAACCCTTATCTTACCCTTACCCTTATCTACAAAACAACAACCTTGCAACCATATGTGGAGTTTGCGGAGTCACAAGAGGTGACTTGTTGCAGGAAGACAAGTGTGGAAATGTTATTGAGAGTTGGAGAGAGGAATGTGGAAAAGAGTTTGTTGTCTTGGAGTACAGAAAGTAACTAAAGACCAATATTTTTAAACTTCATTTAAAAAAAAAAAACATCTCACAAAGCTGCTGCAGTACTCCAAAGTAGCCTTGGGGCACCCCTATTTGAGAAACACTGCTTTAAGTTGGTAGGGGAAGGCCCAAACAAAGCTAATGTAAAAACACTAAAGGTGCATGGTATAAAAACTCAGCAACAAAACTTCAGAGAGAGGTCATTGTAGTAGACCCTGGCTTGAGCAGGTACAAGAAGCCTCTTCTGGATTAAGCTCTGTCCAAAGAAACAGAAAAAAAGACACCCATTAGGGTAGTGTTGATTTTGTCAGCTACCTTGACATAAAGTCTAATACTTAGTCCTCAGATCAAAATGTAATCAATCATGGGCTTAATATTCGATGTTTTCATGTCTACAGAGACACACCTACAGAGCTTTTTGAAGGATTTGGGGTTGGAGCAGCACTACACAGAGAAGCTATCCCTGAACACAATACTTCAGATTGACGAGAGGACCATCTCTGATGAATCCATCAAGTGTAATTCAGATCTTCCATGGTATTTTCTGAAGAAACTGATGATGGTTAATGTGACAGCCAGGAATATGAAATGTACATCTGCATGTGAGTCATATTGTGATGATCCATCAGGGAATACAGAGTTAGATCTTAATGATCAATTTGACAGCCAACATTCAGATGACATGTTAAACCCCCTTGACATAATCACTGCACTCTTTCTGTGTTCTGATGCTTTTGTACAACAAGAAATGGCACTCAAAATGTCTATGTGTCAGTTTTCTGTGCCTCTGTTGGTTCCCAATTGTGACACAAAGCAGTGCACACTCATGCTTTGGGCCATGAGAGACATTGTTAAAATGTACAGACCTCAGTCACTTTCAGAGTCCAATGGCTTCATTGTACAAAGAATTGTTTTCTCTGAACTTCCAATGATATCTTTTGTGAGACTGGGTGAGTGCTCCCTGTCCAAGTCAGAGATCCTCAATAAGCTTCTGAGCAATTCTCAGCAGTACCATGATACATTTGTTCACTGTAACATGGAGTGTGGTGACAATAACATGGAGTGTGGTGACAGTCCAAGGAGAATATCCAATGGACTGGTTGAAATGACTTGGTACCTTCCTTGTGGGAACAAAAACATGGATATTTTCAGTGAGCCAGTAGCTGTAGCTAACCTTCTTGGTGATATTGCCTCTTTTTAAACACAATTTTCTTTTTTGTGTCATACTTCAGCAGCAGTTTTTGTGTTCTTTGACAATTTGGACTCTGAGTGCGAGCTGCTCACCAACCAACACCACAAGGCACAGATCTTTTTGGTAGGTAACCATCAAAGTAAGCACTTCAGTTTAGATGCTGTAAAAAAGATGGCAACCAAGTTGGGCTTGAACAACAGCAACATCCTTTTAAAGACTAAGCAGATGAATGATGCAGACTTTGTCAAAAACTTGCAGAGAACAGTCAACAATGTAGTTGAGAACTCAAAGATGAAGATGCAGATTGAGCAGATGGCTGACATTGCCCATAAACTGGGAATCTTGGTTGATGAAGACTCTTCAGAGTGCCAGACTGCCAAGAAAAATGCAGATGCCATTACTGCAGAAATTCAAGACATCCTTAAATGCAAAGACACTCAGCTACCCCTGCAAGGCCAAATATGGAAGGAACTGACTCGCTTAGATAAGGAACAATTTCGTCTTCTATATGTTGGGTCCCAGAACTTAGAAAATTACAAAAGTGACCTTGAGATACAGAAAACAGAACTTAGGGATAAACAGAACTCTTGTGACATGTCAAATGCAATGACATGTTTTATCAACGCAATATCAAGCCCAGGGGTAGAGAGGTGCTATTTCCTGAAATGGATGCGAATGAACCTTGATAACATATCTCGAGGAAAACTGTCTGGCCTCCGAGAACAGTACAAAAAGAAATGCAAAAAATCTGAGAACAAAGAGGAGATCAAAGAAATTGACAGACAACTCTCCAACAGCTCACTGGGGACTGAACACTTCTTCCGTGAAATGGGTCAGATCTATGAGTCTTCACTGTCTCTTCTAGAAACATACCCATCACGTTAACTGTTTCAACATCTGCCCAAACTATGTGCATAATTGTTACTTGATGGATTTCCCCTTGAGCTTGTAGATGGAGATGCCTCCAACATACCTCTCAGATGGGTGAGTGACGTCCTCTCTCAGCTCAATGGCTTGGTGTCTCCTAAGAACAAGATACTGGTGGTCACAGTTCTTGGAGTTCAGAGCACAGGAAAGTCTACTCTCCTCAACACCATGTTTGGAGTGCAGTTTGCAGTCAGCAGTGG